AGATCTCAGAAACGATTCCCTTCAACCCCCTCATTTTACAAAAGCAGATGCTGGAGCCAGAGAAGTAAGGTGGTTTGGCCAAGGCCACAAAAGCAGTTAGTGGTCTTGAACGAGCTCACTACGTAACCTCTCTTCCAGGTGACCTCCCTTCTAGGTGGGTCTGTTCTTAAGTCGTTTTTCAATCAGATGCAGTGGAAAGGGTAGCAGGTGGTGTGGTGGTTGAAGTGCTGGACTCCCACATGGCAGACTGTGGTTCAAGTCCTAGATCTGGTGGCTTGAAACTCACATCACGTTGAGGCCAACAGATGGTAAACCGGTTATGTCACTGGACTCTTACATGGCTGGCCATGGTTCAAGTCCCAGACCCAATGACTTGAAATGCACACTGGGCATGTGTGCTTGTGTGCCCAAAATCCCAAGAGGAAAACGGAGGAGAAAGGATTGTGCCATGGCCATCTCCCCTGGGGGATGATTTCTTGCTTTCTGTCTCTCTCATCTCCCCAGCGAACACACATGCCCTGTAGCAAAAATCTCCTTCTATTTAAAAAAGAAAAGAAAGAAAGAAAAAAGAAACTCATGCTGGGTGCATATGTGTGTGTGCCCAAAATCCCAAGAGGAGAATGGAGAAGGAATTGTGGGGCATGGCCATCCCTGCTGGGGGGGGGCGATTTCTCATTTTCTCTCCTTCCATCTCTCTCTGTCTCTGGTGAGTACGCACACCCCATAGCAAAAATCTCTCTCAAAAAAATTCAGATGTAGGTCCTTGGGCAACTCCAAGACCACTCCAGTCCAAATGGGATGGTCAGATTCTCCTGAAGCGAAAGGCCACAGCTGAGCAGAGCCGGCCAGTGGGCTGGGACGGCTGCTACAGTACCTGGATGCTTCCACTTGGAGCTAGAGCTCACAAACAGAGGTTTAAGAAGGTGAGGGGTGGGGGGCAGGGATGGGGGCTGATTCCAGGAGTTCGCGTTATTCAGCACCAGAGCAAATGCTTGGGCATAAGGTCGTGCTTTAACCCAGGCGAGTCATCTTCCTGTCATATATACAGCATAGTCTTAAGTATGAATGCTCTTCTTATGGCTTTGTCCCCGGACACACCGCAGTGACACAACAAAAAACTAGAGAGGAGACTACAGAGGAGGAGGAGCCGCAAATGCCTCATGTGTGATGTCTTTTTCTAAAATCTGATGGCCAAGCTAGTGCCGAACGGATGCCTGAGACAGGCCCGTGTCTGCCAGCTAAGGGCTGGTCTGATTCGGTGGAGCCAGTGACACCATCTCACATCTCTTCCTGGAGTATGACTGGTGCTAAAATAAGTCCTGAAGACGGAGAGAAAATAAATGCGCGCTCTTCCCATCCCTCCCTCAAAGGATGGAATCACAGTATCTAGTAGCCGAAGGCGTGGGGCAAAATTGAAAGCCACAGCTGTCACTTCCAGCCAGAGCAAGTGGAAACCAGGCTGGGTCTGTGTCTTGAGACTGGTTTTCTTTTGCTATGGAAGGTTCTGGCACACGGGGGCATGCTTACCAGAAACGGGCCCTTCAGAGTGACTCTGGCATGACCTTCCTGCCCTTGTTTCTTAGCTGGAGGGGGAATGAACATCTGATTCAATGCCCACCCTACTGCAGTGCCATCTCTCCCGCTCCAGAACCTGCTCCCTGTGGAATCCTAAAACTGCTGTTTTCTAGCTCTCCTGTCTGAAACTTCCTCCCTTCCTAGGGCAAAAAGAATCTTTTTCCTCACCTGTTTGTCATTTCTGCTTCTCTCTCCAAGGTTGTAGCTTCTCTTTTAGAGAAGAATGGGGAAGTGTCCCATTCCAGTCTTAACTTGCTCTTGGCCACTCCAGTTGACTGGCCCAAAGTACAGTCCTGTCTCCTCCTGAGAGCAGAGAAGGTGGGGGCTGGAGGCTGGGACTGAGAGAAGGCCCCAAAGTATCAAAAGTTGGGTTGCAGAATTCACCCCATTCCTCTTTAGTACATCTGTAACCTTAGCGGGGTGGGGAGGTTATGGGGGTGAGATTTGGAACTCACTTGTGCGTCATCATGGCTCATTCCCGGAATATTCCAGGCATTGGTCATTTCCCATAACTGGCAGCTATAGTGGCACTGCCTGTGGAGTTGTGTGAGTGGCACCTGTCAGTACAGTGCATAAGGCCTGAACTTCCAGTCAGCTTGAGACATGAACCCCACACTCTATTCAGCATGGGATTCAGGGAAAAGTAGATCTATTTGCCCTGGGTCATGAACTCTGTGAGCATAAACAGCCTCCCCAAGAGGGAGTTCTCATACAAAGCGAGGTCCTGAAATGGTTTCAGGGTGATTTCTGTATCCCTCTTTCTACTGTCCAGGAATCTCTCTCCTCCTTTTCTCTTCCCTTGTTCTCTCCACCTTCCCTGGCATGGCTGGCCTTGTCCTTTCCCTGCTACAGGTGTCAGCCAACTGGAATGATGGGTATCTGTGCACAGTTTGTCCTGGGCATATCTGGGGAGACAGAGACCATGTTGGCACAATGGAAGGATGGGGCCCTCACCCCTCTCTGCTGAGCAATGCACTGGGTGAGCCTTGACTACAAAAAGAAGTTTTCTTCTCACATGCCACAGGCCTGCCAGCTCTCTGTCCCATATGACTGCCTTACAGAGCTCTGGAAAAAGTGCCAGGAACAAGGAGGTCCCAAGCCAGCTTAGCTTCATAGTTTCAGTTGCCAATGAACACCGCTCCTCTCCAGGTGGGCAGGGAGGTAGTTCAACTCCCACACAAAGGGGAAAGACATGCCACCTTCCTACATTGGTTGTCCCTCTTGTCACCTAAGAAGCTGATTCCCCAAGCCTCTGAAAAGGGGTGTTTCCATCACAAGAGATGCCAGGCTCTCCCCATGAGTTGCTGGTTTGGGCCTCTGCTCAGCCAGGCCCCTGTTCTGTCTGAGTTTACCAGGCTAACCAGGCGATCCCGCTTTCTACCCAAGAGGTTAGTTCCTAACCTCATCTCTACCTGTTCATTTTCTAGTGTGATCAGGGAGCAGTAACTTCAGACAACTCAGTAAGAATGCTTGGTCTTCACCCCTTCAGCAAATGGGCCTGAGATAACTGTGATCCTCCTAGACCATTCAGATGCTGAGACATTCACAACTGAGCCCACGTTATCTGGAAAACCCTTTAGGGTCTCCTTTCACCCCAAAATGTTGTGGGAGGCCACAAGAACAACATACTCATTTCCTGTTTGGAACAACACATTTCTACAGGAATCTGGGATGACCTTTTGACAAAGTGCCCAAGTCACAAGGGAACCAGATGGTTCTTTAGACCAAGGGGGTTTCAGCAGGCTGTTAGGGGAGAGAGCAGGAG